AACCACCAACCCAATGCAATGGGGCTTTCTAAGTTAGCGGTTACATAAGACTTTGTGTCTGGGGCATGAGGAGGAGCAGCAGCCACGGGGGGAGTGGGTGGGAGTGGAGACGGGGTAATGAGTCCAGCAGAGATGGCAGCGTTGTGATATCCTGAGCTCCTGAAGACTGAGCAGAGACGGGCAGCCATTCAGTGATCAGCAGATGACCCATCTTACTGTGTGTGTGTGTGTGTGTGTGTGTGTCACAGAGAGGTAGATGTACTGTGTTTGTGTGTGTTGACTGCGGTTAGGGGAGTATGAGATGTCCTGAGGAATGTGTGGCTGATGGCAGCTCTGAGGCTATAAGACATAGTCTAGGAAGTGGAAATCAGATAGGACCAGTTAAGGAACTGGTGTACTTCCTCTGAAGGGCTCTGGAACCCACATCAAAAAATGGTTCACTCTCCTGCTGCGATTGGTCCATTCCTGAGGGCGAGACAGGGCACGCACTATTGTTGTGTTCTATTTTTGCTGCCTGTGTTTGCTGTAATTTGTGGCCTCACCCCAAACTGAGGTTCTGTAATTTTGATCGCAATCGGACTGCTGTCGTTTTTAGCACTCTCGAGTAAATTATAGTGAATTACGCAAAATTGAACGGTTGGACTTGAAATCTAAATCTAAAAATGCAACTTTTTTTTCCTCCCTCCGCTGCTTTGTCTTATGGAACTGATGCGATTTCAGAGGCGACGCCCTTCAGAGCAACTTTCCTGGAATTTCCAGATAAGTGGCTTTGAGGAGATGTTTTCACTCTTTCTTTCACCAAAACTATTTGATTTTGACCGTGGCGCTCATTTCTATCCCATTAAGCAGAGGAGGAAAATGAGCAAAAAGTATCCTCCAGTTCCTCACTTCAAAGACGCCAGACATAGGAAGGGGAGGACTGGGGAGGGATGCACAGGGTTTCTGAGCCGACCCACTGTGGGGTTGCCGGAGAGACCTCCCTCTGACTGGAAACGAACACTAATCCCATCAAAGAACCAGAAACTAAAGCTTACCCACCACTTTGTGTACGGACTGTGTGATGATGACGACAATCACAAATGAGACAACGATGATAAAAGCTACATAAGGTGAGAACCAGGAAGTATGATAATGATAATGATGGCTACACAAAAGGAAATCAGGTCCTTGAAATTAAATTCTAGGGATTTAGTCGGTTCGGTTCAGTGGGCCTCACCTCTGGCCCATGGTACGGTCTCCCATTGACGATCTCTGGCGAAGCGTAGAGCGGGCTGCCGCAGAAGGTTTGCAGCAGCTTGTCCTTGTGGTAGAGGTTCGACAGCCCAAAGTCAGCAATCTGTGGAAACGGGTACGTGTGATTTTTGGTTTTTACACCAGCCTCATGATTGCTAATGTCATGGCAAGAGCATTTGAGGTTTGTCCTATGCATCACAGATCAAGGACAAACCTTAATATTACAGTTTTCATCCAGTAGCACATTTTCCAGTTTTAGATCCCTGTGCACCACTCCATTCTGAAACACAAAGAGAAATACAACACAATGATTGATGGATGTACCAACGTCTTCATTCACGAGAGATGGATCCAAGTGTTATGCAGTGGATCCTTTGTAAAAACAGATGATTTACTCTGACAGCTTGTGGCTCTCGGGGGAAATCAAGGCAGCCTGTTGGTGTAGTACTCTTTAATTGCTCCTGTCCCCTCTGGGGTCTTTATGCTGACATCTGCTGCGATTTTTTTTTTCAGATCCACTCACATGTGTCACATAAAGTTGAGCCTTTAATTACCACCATGTATGAATTATGTTCTCACAGCATTTATGGATTAAAAAACAACTAAGCTGTTAAAAAAAACCCAAAGAATTAACTTGTGGTATGCAGACAGACGGATCACAGCTCAGATGTGGACTGACTTCACTTCTGCCCCCTGGTTGTGCTCTGCGTGGCATCTCCTATTGGTTGCGCCCTGGCAGGGAATCTCATGCGCGCCTGACCCTGATTGGTGGATACAAAAGAAGAAATAGCTGCTTGCTTTTGGTGTCAGTGACTCACATCACCCCACCCGGTGGGAGGTTGTGCATGGTAGTGATGATTCATTGCGCACGGCAGTCTGGGACTCTCCTATCTGAGGAGCATGACATCATCTCTATCTCCAGCTGGGAAAGAGTGTGACAGGAGGAGACCATCCTACCAGAGAGCATGGGAGCTTGGGAGTCAATGGGAGTTAGTGAGGTGTGGAACGAGGGTTGACGAGGGGCGTGGCTGAAAAACATCTCCAGGGGGAAAAGCTTCGGGGGGGTATCTTGGGACCATCAGCTTGTCAACAGCTGAGGTGCAGAATTAAGGCTTGTTTGGTGCAGAGGGCATAAGCATGAATTAAACTGGCCTGTGTTCCATCTCCACTCAGAAACAGATGACTCCCTTCGAACCAGCACGCCAAGAAAAGCATATGGAGTAGGGCCTGCAGATTAACTGGCTATATGACTGAGTGCAGAGGTGCATGGTTAATGTAACAAAAAGCCTGGAAAATATAGACTGTGTGTATGTGTGCTTGTGTGAGAGAGGAAAACAGATATTTAAGGTGAGCAGGAAATGAATGTGCGTGTGTTTTTCTGTATGTAAAGTACAGTATGGGTTTTCTCACCTTGTGGCAGTGATGTACGGCGGAGACTATCTGTCTGAAGAAGTGTCGCGTCTCTCGCTCGCTCAGGCGCCTGCGCTCGCTGATGTAGTCGTACAGCTCGCCCTTGCTGGCGTACTCCATCACGATCACGATCTTGTCCTTGTTCTCAAACACTGAGAAAATATAAGAAAACAATTGGGAGTTCACTGATATGTACTTTCAGGGAAAAAACATCTACATTAAGAGCAGGAGAGGTGGGAGGACAATCTTTAAAGTCGTGCCATGTTCGGTCTATCACGTTGAAATAACAAACATGCGTTGTTATGTAAAAAGGAGGTTCACAGTTCACTCACACACACACACACACACGCCTGCTCAAGTTTTGGAGCAGGAATCCAGATTTCAGAGGAGCACATTACATCTATACACTTCTCCCAAGGTTACATCACCCCAAACCCCACCTCATGAGTTTGGCTCCTTTACAACATCGCTGGGAGGGGCTGTTAACTCAATCAAGCCCACTCCTCTGAGACTGGAGTGAGTGGAGAGACCAGTAAAAAAAAAAAACTGAGAGAAAGCAGGAACTGGGATGAGGACAGAAAAGAGTTATCATCGTGTAGGATCATGCAATGGCCCCTGACAGGGTTAACTTCCCAGCGTCATTTCACCACCTTTCACAACACACTCGCACACACTAAAGTCTAGCACAGAAATTTTACAACCGCGGGTGATTATCACTAAAATTAATTATCAGTGTGTCAATGATAATGGAAACTAAGTCATTTCCTTTCTTGTTTTTCCATTATTTTCACATTTCCTCAGAGTTATTATGAATCTAATTATTTATCTTTCCTTTACCGCTTTCTTCCTTTCCCCTGTCCTTTTGTTTTCTTGTTTCCATTTGGTATATTACTGTTATTATTCCTGTAATTTATTGAATTTTCTCTTGTTACCTACATTTCTTAATGAGATGTAACCATAAATAGACTATTGATTGTATATATTTATTGTTATCAATTTTGGATGTTGGGACTGTGGATGGGTTGGGATGGGATGTGGAGATAAACAGTGGTTGTTACAATAACAACTGTAAGGGATCATATTCTAAGAGAGGACGAATATATTAAGTTAAAGTACGGACTAATTATAAAGTATAATTGTACAATCCTATGATAGAGCTTCCATTTGGCTTTTAAAAGAGACAACAACGTGAATAAGTTGTGTTTTTTTTGTCTAACAGGATCATTTGAATTAAAACTACACATCCAGTGACTGAGGGGAAATCAGTGTTGTTACAGTGGTGTTACTGGGATGCATTACTATCCAGCTGCAGCTCATCAAACACATCATTCTGTGTCAGTATTTAGCCCTGTAGTGTATAATTTCAACTTGGCAACTTCCTTTCTCTCCCAGTGCCTTGGCATGAAGGGAATGACAGTGGTTAGGCAGAGGAGAGGGAAGGAGAGAGAGAGAAAAAAGACCAAGGGAACACTGAGGAGATGACAACAACACTGTCCGCCATGTTGCTCTGCATTGTGCGGCTTGATTTTCCCACACAGCGGGGTCGCCGGGGTGAGGGCCTCTGCTTTCTTCACCCTTGAGTGAGCACCTTCATAGTTTGTCACACTACTTTCCTCACCCCCCTCCGCTACCTCTACCAGGGTCCTTTTAAAGATATAATCCTCTACAAAAACACACAGTTGTTGAGTGATGGTAATGCTCCCTGATTGTGACTGCCAGGCCGCTTTGGGAAGTCACAGACGGGACGTGAGCCAAGCGACCTGGGAGGGCAGAGTCCATCCTGCCCTCCGATTGGTGGACAGGGCGGTGACCTGGGGTGACATTTGCGGTGATCCATGGTTGGGGTTGTTCTCAGCTTGCACCCCATTTACCCTTGACCCCTGGTGTTGAAGTAATTACCTGGATTACATAACTTGGGTTTGTTACGGCCCATTCGGTACAACAGCCACCGCCACAGCCATGCTGTCACTCACTGGGCTTTGTTCAGAGGTCAGGCCCTCACATTTGACTAATTAGCACCTATTGTCCCATCGCCCTCGCTGATGATAGACAGCTATTGCAAGATTGCTTAAGAGGCAAAAAGCAGAGTATTATTACACAGTGTAATCCAGAAGAGTAGTAGTGAACTAATGATGCAGACAATAAAGACGCAAACACTTAAAGCTGTATACTTTTCTGGTTTTAAGTATTTTAATACTGTAGGAATAGCCGTTTTTCCCCAAACTGGTGTATTTTCAGGACTTAACTACCATTACAAAAGATCTCCAAGCTTTAACTCACTATCTAGGTGTATGTCACCTTTGGAGAATGCAGTATAATGAGTACAATAAAAAAATGTGGCTCTTTATTCACAGCAGGGTGAACGGTTTTATGTCTGTTCTGAGTTTATGTGTCCATCTCATTTCCCCCTTTCACTCCCCAAAAAGAATTGGTTCAACGTTACAGGGAAGTACTTGTCTCTTGCCAAGAATTTGAGGAAAAGATTGATACCAGTCTCATATCTCTTTGGTAAATATATGAGGCTTTGGCCAGCTGCTATGTAGCTTAGCTTAGTCTGTGTCCCAAGGTAACAGAGTCTGTCTCCCAGCGCCATCAAAGCTCACTTATTAACACATTATACAACAAGTTCTGCTTTTCTAGAGGGTTATGTGTCAGATTCGTTCAGCTAACCAGCCGCTCGTGTCATATTTACTGTCAAAGTAATATCAAACTTCTTATCTAACTCTAGCAAGACTTTTAACTATTAAAGCGTCTCTGACTCATGGGGCGTAATTTTACTTAACTTTTTCTGCAAACACGAACATGCTAGTAATGTTTTATTTGGCTGTATCAATTTGCACATTTACAGCATTCTTCGGGTTTGACTATTTGTTTTAAGAGGGGGCACCGGGGGTACATGCTAATGCCTGAGGAGCGAAGAGCAAAATCCGCTTTTTAAATGCCCCGCACAGCATGCTGATGGATGCAGAATGTGAGGGAGTGGTAGAAAATCTCTCTTCACACACACATCTGGTTCAGCTTTGCTTCACACAAGGCAGTTAGCAGGGGCTGTTGAAGAGGGTGTTGCCAGATACACAAATCTCGGGGCCTCCTATATATCTCTAAAGTGAGGCTGGGCGGAGGCCAGGCCACAACAGTAAACGCTGGGTTTGAGGAGAAACACCAAAAGACTGCGAGCAATGAGTCTGGTTGAGTGTGTTGGTGGAGTGCGACGTTTTAAAAGGGAGGCATCTCACACAGGACCAGGCTCCTCCAAGTTTATAAAACTGGGTGTTCTTTTAATCATTCTCTTAACAAATGCATAAAAACCCCGGCTGCACTTCAGCACTCCAGCTGACTACTGGCACGTTCCCATGACAAATAGCGATGTTTGTCACATATACACATTGCTGATAACGACCTGGGGACTCTGAAACCGAACAAAGGACAGTGGATAAGCCAGTTTGGGCAGTGGCACACATTGTGCTGGGGCAGCTAGCCTGAAAAGGGCATTGAAAGTGTTGCTCTGTTGACACGGGCATTAAAATAGTCACGAGTCACAAATCATATGAAACCGACTCACACTGCATCGCCTTGTGACTTTAATTGCCTGCACATAGGCCCGGGCTACGTTATAAGAGATGATTAATAGCTAGCAATATGCTGAAAAAGTTCGATGGGAATTGTTCAGCCTTTACGCTGTATGTTTTCCTCTGGTAAGGTTAAGGTCATTTGAAAGGGCTCATATCGAAAACGGAAAGAGTAAGTCAGTGTGCTGTTTTAGCCCGACTCAAGGGCTTTGACATTTAAAGAGTTGCTTCCTGGGGTAGAGATACATTGATGTTGCTCCAGGGAGAGTTTAAAGCCTTTTCCTCCCTCTGAAAAGCACTGTACCAAAGTCAGGCAGGGTGCAGGTCTGGGTGACTGGGGTCAATCTAGAGTTTAAATGCAAAAACTTACCAAGACACGCGCACGCACGCGCACACATACGCACACACACACACACACACACACACACACACACACACACACACACACACACACACACACACACACAC